TACTTGGTGTTCTCGCAGAGGCTGGGAAGTTTTAGGGATAATAGGAGCTTTTCTCCTCTGGCCACTCATGCATGCAGTCTCTACTGAATCTCTGTAGCATGGCTTGTGCAGGAGTTGCTGAAAATAGGTGGTGCTTAGAGCCACTGGAGAAAATCTGGTTCCCATTCTTGAGCAATTTGATGGCCTCAACTTGAGCCAGCTCTTGTACCTGGGGCTGTAGGGGTGTCTTCTAGTCTGGCCCTTTATCTTTATCTTTGTGTCAGTGACAAGGATTCTCAGCAATGAGAACACAAATGAGATTAGGCTGATGCTAAACTCTGAGGAGGCGAGAAAGGAACAGCTAGTCCTGGGACGAATATATTCCATAATGTTTGTCATCCAGCGACCTTGGAGCCCAGCACTGTTTCACTTCTTTTTTTTTTTTTTTTTTTTTTTTTAATTTTTTTTTTCAATGTTTATTTATTTTTGGGACAGAGAGAGACAGAGCATGAACGGGGGAGGGGCAGAGAGAGAGGGAGACACAGAATTGGAAACAGGCTCCAGGCTCTGAGCCATCAGCCCAGAGCCTGACGCGGGGCTCGAACTCCCGGACCGCGAGATCGTGACCTGGCTGAAGTCGGACGCTTAACCGACTGCGCCACCCAGGCGCCCCTGTTTCACTTCTTAACTCTCTGTGATCTGGGAGCAGTAGCGCTGGCTGTGAGTCAGGCTGATTGTCCTTATGGTCCCCCAACAAAGCTGCAGGGTGATGATTAGGGGAACTGGGGCTTTTTATCAGCCATCTCACCTCTGTCCATCATCTTTTACCTTGTCTACTTCTGTTGTGGGAAATTGTGTTGTCTGCACCATAGTGGTTGGTGTAGATCTTTCGACAAGGAAACAATTGTTGAGCTGTGGCTCGGAAAGAACTTGGAGAGCTCTTGGCCCTGCTTTTACATCAAAATCTATCTAAACTTCTAGGAAGGAGGTGGGAAGCACCCAATTCTAGGTTGCAAATAGGGAAACGTGAGGCAGGAAGAATGAAGTAATTGTGGATGAGATGGGAACAATAAGGGAGTGCTTATATCTGACAATCAGGCTAGTCTATGTGCATAAACTCATGCTCCTCTTCACACAACCATAGTTGTGTGAAGCCACAACTTCACATAGTGGCACAAGCCACTATGACTGAGCTCTCTGAAGAAAATTTTCATGACTAACTGGTTAAGAAGTGAACATTTGTACACAGTAAAGGATCCTATAAACAAATGGGAGAAAATCAGTAGGCAGAAAATTCTAAAAGAAATTGCAGCACGAAACATATTCTTATGGTCTCTGAAAGCTGAGAGGGTGACAACATTCTGAAGGTGAATGGGTTACTTGTGCAGCTCTGTGGAGTAGGTGATCAAGCTGATGAGAAACATAATTTACTTGTAAAGCATAAATTCTCTGCCCTTCATGGTTGGGCTTCATCAAGAGAGACTCTGTGAGTCTAAGTTAATGAAATTTTACTCCATTTTGCTATCTAATCTTGGGAAAGTGGCTCTTTTTTTGTGACCTGGTTTAACTGTCTTGAAACAGGAGAACCACCTTGAATTCAAAGAAAGATTTTGTGAGTGAAAGACTCACTCTTAAGTATTTAAAAGGGTGGAGATGCCATTTAAGATTCTGATCATTCTGTCTGAAGCATCCTGAAACGAACTCCTCCCAGGGCCCCACTCATAGAATAAAGAAAAATCTCCCCATCCTGGTTCAGCCCACCCCTCCAACCTGAAACCATGATCCAGTTGGTTACAGATCTGTCCCTCCCTAGATTGGATTTATCACAGAAAATGAAGAAAGACCAGGAAAAAAAGGGAAGAATAAATAGTAGGTGGCTTCCAAGTTGAATTTGCAATGTAATATGTGCTTATGGGATGAATCAGATAATAAATTTGAAAGTGTTTTGTAATGTGTAACATGTTAACATGATAACAGGGGAGATTATTGCTTCAAAAGAACAGGAACTATGTTCTATCTGTCACTGAACCTTCAGTGTCCAATCTGTTGTCTGCACATAGGCCTTTTTTTTTTTTTTTTTTTTTTTGCCTTTTTATCATTGGAAAGTTTTAATCATACAAAGGTAGAAAAAATAGTTTATTGAACTTCCACGAACCCAGCTTCAAACTGTTATCAACTCATTTTACAGGCATTTAATTAGTGCTTTTGGAAGGAAAGGAGTTTAGGAGTGTCTTAGAAATAATTTACCTCCATCCCCATTTTCTTTAGGAGATTATGATCAATATGAACAATAATATCAGAAAATCACATTTCCTATAATTCTCACTGGGTTAATCACATTTGAGAAAAAAGAAATGGAATTCTTGGAATTCTGGGTTATTAAATAAAAGAACTGTAAAATAAACGTCCTGATTTTATAAAGAGCAGAACTCAAACTATTTGCTACTTATGCTTGTGATTAATAGCTCATTCAGCTTCAGAGTTTTAAAAAACTTTTTTTGTAGTTTGGCAGGTGGGTGTTGGGAAGTGACAAAGCCATTTTACTCCCTAGGGCTTACTTGTAGGGCTATAAGCCCTCTTCTTTGACTGTTATATGGATGGAATGGGGCCAAGGTCTCCATGTTTCTTGGTGTTTCTATTTTATCTTTGACCCTTGTACTTTGGGTTGGTTCTTTATTTCTAAGGACACAGATAATAGGCAGGCAAATCTGAAATGTTTGCCTGAACAGCCTTTTGGCATTTTTCAACATTGTTTTCTGGGAAGACCAGGGTGGTGAAAAGCCTACGAGTGGTCTACACTGAGATGGGCAACTAGCTATGGAGCTGTGAGTGTTTGAGTGAGTCACTTCCCTTTGGGGTT